TTAGAAATAAGGTATATAGAGAAAGAAAGAGCAACTGGTCTAGGGTTTGTTTAAAAAAAGATGATGAAAAAGTGAAGTGTAACCCACTACTGCCAACTGATATATTCGAGGCTCGCTCGAGCGAAGGAGTGGTCGCTTGAGCGACCAGACACAAAGAAACCTCGCTCGAGCGTAGAAAGCCTCGCTCGAGCCAACAAATCGAAGCTTCAGGCCTGCAACCCAGAAGCATGCTCGAGCAAAGAAAAGCTCGCTCGAGCGAAGAAACCCAAAACATAGACCTCGCTCGCTCGAGCGAAGGAAATCTCGCTCGAGTGAAGAATTGCAACCTTCAGGTCCAAAACCAGACGCAGACGCAAGCTCGAGCGCAAGACTTCTCGCTCGAGCCACCAGACACATCACCCAACTCTCACTCGAGCGAATGAACCCTGGCTCGAGCGAAGGATCTAAAACACAGAGCTCGCTCGAGCAAAGACACCAAAATCTGGGCAGCAACCATTCGTTTCAAACTCCCAACCTGATACAAACCTGCCCAACACATCCTAAAATTCAAATATAAGAAATTTAAAGGACGGAAATGAAACAAATGCAACAATACTCACCCGCAAAACCTAAGTCCAGAATATTGTACATAAAGGGGAAAACCCAGGATCGCTATAACAATAAATTAAAATTAGATGATAGGAAATGAAAGACAAAAAATTATTTGAGAATAATAAACTATTTAAATTTGTCATTATTTGAAATTAAGAAAGAATATCCATGTTTCTTATTTGAATTAAATTTGAGATTTAATTTAATAAAAATAATTTAAATGAAAGAAACAAAGATGCAGATATAGATTTTAGATGTAATAAATAACAAATTATTTAAGCATTTTATTATTTTCAAATAATTTATTTCTTGAAGTAAAATTCTATTTATTTCTTGAAGTAGCATCTAATTAAAATAGAATTTTACTTCAAGAAATAAATTATTTGAAAATAATAAAATGCTTAAATAATTTGTTATTTATTACATCTAAAATCTATATCTTCATCTTTGTTTCTTTCATTTAAATTATTTTTATTAAATTAAATCTCAAATTTAATTCAAATAAGAAACATGGATATTCTTTCTTAATTTCATTAGTGGATGATTTTTTTTTATTTTAAACTTATAAAAATTCAAAACTTATAGTGGAAAAAAATATATAGTCAAGGGAATAGAAAAAAAAAATTGTTGGGAGGGAGGTCAGTTTAATCTATAAAAAGATGTTCGGACCACCGCCACGTGTATGACAACTGTAAAAGAAAGGGCTGCAATATTGAGAGCAACAGAATCATGTGGTGTCTTAAAAATTGATGGGAAATACTTCGTAATTAAAAAAGAAAAAGTGATAATTTTATATTTTTTTTAGTTTTTATTATAAAAAAATTATCATAATTAAATAGAACATAATGTATAATAAAAAAAATTTATAAGTTATAATTAAAATGTCATAATTAAAGAAGAAAATTGATCATAATTAGAGTACATATGAAATACCTTTTTTTAAGAGATGTATATTAGAATTTCTCTAAATTGATTTAGTAATAAAATTCTTAATAAAATTTTTATTAAGGCCTATTTTGGAAAGTAAGAAAAACATTTTAATTTTTTTAATATTTTTTATAAAAAAAATGTGTAAAAAATTAAAGAACTAATGTGATTTAAATAAGCCAATTAGTCAATAAGTTGGATTCTTTCCTAATTGTCAAGATAAAACTAAAAATATATTGTATTTTTAATATAAAAAAATCAGTAAAAATGTTAATATTTATAGAATTGTTCCAATTATATTATTCTATGTTTGTTTCAGGTAGTTTAAAATTAAAATTATAAATGAAATTGTGAATGAAGGATTGACAAATAAAGAAATTATAGGGTTTGGGGTGGTTTTAGTTTGCTAGTTAATTGAAAATATTCTTCATAATAGTTTGCTACAGTTATGAAACATTTACATTATATATAATATTAATTTACATAATATTTTTATATATATATAACACAAATTAATTTTATATAATATTTTTCATATATATAACTATTAATTTGTAATAAATTTCACATATTAAAATTTTCTTACACTTAATTTTATTTTAATATTCTATTAGAAGTTAATATATATATATATATATATATATATATTAACTATAACGGAGCGAATTAATTTTAAAGACAAATTATAAAATTTAAAATTTAATTCGTAATTAGTAAATAAAATAATATGAATCGATTTAACGATATTTTATATAATTTTAATCCCGGGTGTACTTGTTATGTGAACCACGTGGTTACAGTTGGCCCACGCCATGGACAACCTACAATTATTGATGGAAAAATTGTAAATAGATGATATAGTTACAAAATAATTATATTATAAATAAAAATATATATATATATATATATATATTTAAAATTTTATCACGTAGAAAGAATTGCATCAAGTACAAAAATAAATTTTGAGTTTATAAAAAAACACATAAATAAATTTATATCATGCACATGAGAAAATTACACTATTATAAAAATGTACTAAATTTTTTACAATTTCCCCATTAATAATTGATTTCAAGATTGACAAAGGCCTCATTCACTATATAAATCAACTTTATTACAGAGTTAAAAATAAATAAAGATAACTCAAAGCCTGTATATTTTAATTTTAAGGATTATTTGAGAAGTGTTAAAAAATATACTAATATAGCTCTAAGCCAAACAACCCCTAAAGACAACTCAATAATGCTTGTGCAGATGGCAACGACTTTGACAAGAATGACTCCCCGACAAACATAGACTTGAAGGCCTACTAGTTTTGTTGTTTCTGTACCATGTCACATTGAGAGTCCATAAATTATATTATGTCTATATATATATATATACACTAGTGGGTGGCACACACGATGTGTGTGTAATTTAAATAAGTAGGAATAAAAAATAATAATAATAAAATTAATATTATAATGTGTACTTAGCTTAAGTGGTATGAGTTCTCGTACTTAAACCCATGGTCATGGGTTCAAGCTTTGCCCATCTCTTTGTTTAAGTTTTTTTTTAAAAAATAAAAAATACTGCCACATGGCATGAAGAGAGTAAAGCACACCAAAGTTCCTGTTCACTTTATAATAAAGCCTGTATATTTTAATTTTAAGGATTATTTGAGAAGTGTTAAAAAATATACTAATATAGCTCTAAGCCAAACAACCCCTTAAAGACAACTCAATAATGCTTGTGCAGATGGCAACGACTTTGACAAGAATGACTCTCCGACAAACATAGACTTGAAGGCCTACTAGTTTTGTTGTTTCTGTACCATGTCACATGGAGAGTCCATAAATTATATCATGTCTATATATATATATATATATGAAGCGCTTAAATTTATTATTTTTTTATTATATTATTTTATTTTAAATAATTTATAAATGGTGACTTATATATTGAGAATTTTTTTTTTGTAATTATAAAAATATTCTTGATCAATTATGAAATAATTTTTTTCATAATTACGTAAATATTTTTAATCAATTATAAAATATAAATTTTTTATTTTTGAATAAATTACAAATACAATCAAAAGATTTGTTTAAAATATGATTCGATCCTATAATACTAGAAATTACAACTATTTTTTTTGTAATTATAAAAATATTCTTGGTCAATTATGAAATAAGTTTTTTCATAATTACGTAAATATTTTTAATCAATTATGAAATATAAATTTTTTATTTTTGAATAAATTACAAATACAATCAAAAGATTTGTTTAAAATATGATTCGATCCTATAATACTAGAAATTACAACTATCGTTTATTATAAATTTTAATTTAATACAACACTCAGGAATTTTTTTTATTCTCCTATGCAATAATAAATTATCAAAATTGTTTATTAAAAAATATTTCTCATATCATTAAAAACTGTTATTTGACTTAATAATTTATTTATTAACAAAATTATTAACTGAAAAATATTTTTCATATTATTAAAAATTGTTGATTTACTTATTAATAAAATTAGTTATTTGTTATGCAAGTATGATTTATGTATTAATAAAATTAGTCATTTGTATATATATATTTTTTCTTCTACTTCTTTATTAGTTTAGTGAATTATCTTAGTAGTTTTTTTAGATGAGAGAGTTATCTTAATATTTGTTTTATATTTATTTGTTGAGAAAAGTTACACACCATAATTTTTTTATTTTATTTATTTATTTTTTTATAAATTCGAAAGAAATGTTAAAAACTTATAAATTCATCTAAAATGATATAGTAATAGAATTGGAGTATATATTATTAGGTGTATAACAAATCAAAAAATGATACATATCATACCCACATAATTTTATCATATATCTAATGATTATTCTATTCAATTTCATAGAACAATATTTTAATTTTTAAAAAATTATCAAAATACAAAATTTAAACATATTATAATAATAGCTCGTGTGTTGCATGCTTAATTTTTTCTAAAAAAGTCATATCAATATGTTTGTTTTTGTTTACATATAAAATTCTACACATTGAATTTCAATTATAATAACTAATTTTAGATGTACTCTATTTGAGAAATATTTATTTTTCATATATTTTTCATCATGTATTTAGTTTTGTCGTTGTGAGATTTCCTTTATATAGTTGATATTTTAATTTAATTATTATGATATTTGAAAAAAAAACTTATGTCAATATATAAATAAATAAATAAATATGACAATGTGCTTAATTATATATATTGTATGGATCAAATTAATTTTCTTTTATATTTTATATTTTTTTTTATCTTATTTTGATGTCTTCATATTAATTTATAGGAAAAATTACTCATAAATCCCATTTGGGGAAATATTAGTCCATTTAGTCCTACATGTTTTTTTGCAAACCAAATAGTCATTTTTATTTGTAATATGTATTATTGGTTAGATTAGTAATATTTGAGTTTACTTGTTTGTCCCTTATTGTGATTATATTTTTGATGTTTTTTTGTATAGCAATCCCTGTCTTCCCTCCGTTGTTTAGTGTATTTCGGATTCGGTTCCGTGAATGATTGTTGTTGTCAGTGTCGCGTTTCTGTCCTTTAATTCTTTGTATTTGAGTTTTGGGATGTGTTGGGCAGATTTGAAACAGATTGGTTGTGTTAGAAACAAATAGCTTCTGCCCGGATTTTGGCCTCTCCGCTCAAGCGGGCCCTTTTGCAATTGCTCCTCCGCTCGAGCGCGCTCGAGCGGGCAGTCTGACGCTTGAGCGGGATTCTTCAGCCTTCAGTATTTTTTTTTCGAAGGTCTACAGAATCTGGAAGTGTGCTTTCGACGCTCGAGCGTCCGTTTTCACGCTGGAGCGGGAGTCTGTGTCTAACGCTCGAGCGGAACGTTCTACGCTCGAGCAAACTGTGTGTATTTCAGTCCGAGAAAAAGCCATTTTGAATCACTTTTTCGACTCTCTCTCTCTCTAAAGCGTTCCAAAACCCTAGGTTGAGAGCTTCTCACTCTAGAATACTCTCTCTCTCTACATTTTGATCTTAATTTAATGAGACCCAATCCTTGTGCTTTCATTAAAGTGTTGGAGCTTCTCAAGACCTCCATTTTCCATCCGAATAGAAGTTGATTTCGTTACTTTTGGAGTCACCACTTGCTTGGTTCATCTTCTCCTTTGAGTTTCGAAATTTGAGGTATGGATAACCTACTCATTTTCATGAGTTTTAACATAAATGTTATGTATTTTGTATAAATGGTGTTGTTTGGGAGTTTTGGAAAGTTTAGACTTTGAAATTGAAATATATAAAAGAGGGATTTTCTATTTTTAGGATTTCAAGTGTATGAGTGGTCCCTAAAATAATGTTATTATGTACGATTGATGACATTTAGCGTTAAGTGTAATATTTGAGAAAATGAGGAAGTAGCCTTAATTTAATGTGATTAATTAATTTGTAAAATTAATTTAGAAGATATGAAAATGTGAAATTGAACAAGGACCGCGCTTGGGATGGCCACGTAAGTAAACCACTCATTCAGGGTCCACACATGTAAAAATAATAAAACACATGTAAAAATAATAAAGCATTGAGAGAGGTTGATTTAATGTTTTGCTAATTTTTGTTTGGTTGTGAGTGGGCCCATTCATCGGTGCAGCACTCGCAGCACTGTACCACCAAGTCGTGCCATCCCTTTCAAGTCCACGTGATGATCATGTTTGGATCCACCATATGATGCTTTTATTTGTGGCCATTCATTCTCTGTTGTTTTGTTTTTGGGTGTGTATGTAATGAATTTCTTAGAAAATGTATTATATATCCAAGTAATATAATCCAAAAAAGAGGGGATGATGGTTGATGGGGCCCAATCAGAAGGTGGAGATGGGGGTGTCTGGTTCATTGCATTTTGTGTGGAGCCTGTAATATCAATTCGGTCACAGGACAATAATAACTCACCGACCAATCCAAACCAAGAGGGCAATTTTGTTTTTGAATGAGTACATATCACTGCTGTGGCAGCTGGCCTCTTTGATATAATCCAAAATTATATCATGAGATACAAATCAAACAAACCCAAAATCCCTCCCAAGCTAGCCTTAAAATCTTGCTAGTACAATCTCGAACTTGCCAAACAAACTCATATAAACAATTATAAATATTATATAACTGAAAAATGATAACTTTGTGGGTAAATTAGGCTGATGTCCTTATATTTTATCTTTTGTTTTATTTTGGTTTTCACATTTTTAATTGATTTGATTTTGGTTCTTAATTTTAAATTTTACATCAATTTGATCAAATTAACAATATCATTAGTGTTTTTTAAGAAAAATTATCATTAAATTAGTTGAGGTTCACTTACTGAGTTAGATAAATTCATAATTTTGAGACACATGACACTTATGTACATATTTTTTATTAAAAAATATTAAGAGTTGTAATTCATTTGACCAAATTGAGACAAAGTTAAAAATTTAAAATCAAAATCGAGCTAATTAAAATTGCACCTTAATATTTAGTCATTACATCTTAAATATTAACTTAAATAAATACATTTTTCATTTTAAGTATATCTTTTTATTTAAAAAAGTAAAATTTAGTAAATTATATATATACAGATATTAATATGTACATATGTACATACGAGAAAAATTTAAAGGGTATGTATCGTATACACCTTATAACTTAAAAAAAATGACATAATTTCATACTTTAAAGTCATAACTATAAAAAATAACAAATAAAAAAGTCATAACCAAATAATACATGAGATATAACCAAAGATCTTATGAGTCATAACTAAAATAAGATCGCAACTAAAGAAAAAAAATTAATCATTACTGAAAAAGAAATTTGTATAACTTAAAAGTATAATATAAGTTAAGAATACATACGATAAGAAGTATTTATGGTAAAATTTTACATGTACATAATATATATTAATAATCATGCTAGGGCGACCAGGAAGAAACATTTCCAAATCCAACCCATCTAAGAAAAACTTTAAAAAATAATTCTGATCCAATTTAATGAGTTTAAATATCAATCTTAAGACTTTAAAAGAAGTATTAAAATTGACAAACACTTATGGAGAAATTATTTAATACTCTGACAACAAATTTAGTTTGTTTGGTTTGAATTTTCAGGATTCACTTTTTAGAAAATTGAAATTTTTTATTTTTCATATTTTTTTTTTTGTTTTCACTAAATTTTTTTTAATATTCTAAGAAATTTTTTAAAATTTTTAGATACACCTAACATAAATATACTTAAAAAGTATAATAATTGTAAAAATATCTTTAAAAAATTTACTAATTACCAAAAATATAAATAAAAAAAATACAAAAATTCAGTACAGTTTTTGTATTCTTATGTATTTTGTTAGACATATTTGATTTTGATAATTTGTTTTTGTTTTGATTATGTTTTTGATTATTTGAAAGAATTTTGATTGACATATCTCAAATTATTCATATTAATCAATCCTATCAATAATGTTATTTTTGAAGATCAAAATGAAATTCAACCTTGCCTGATATAAGTTCCTTAAATCATCTTAGATTAATTGATTATTTGATGCTCTAATTTTGTTTTTTGTTTTTTTAGTTCAAAATGAAGCTTAAACATATGATAAATCAGCCCAAAAATAACAACAAATCAACCCAAAAACGACAGCAAAATAGCCCAAAGCAGCAACGTAACAGCAGCAGCTCAAAGCTACAGTAAAAGGAGAGCAGCCAACTGAGGGGGCGGTCGATCGTCGGTTGACCGATCGGATGACTAGGCGATTAACTGGTCAGGCCAATTTTCAATAAACTTTTGCTTCTCTGCAGGGACATCCGGGTGGACATTTGAGAGGACATTGGGCGGATGACCGGTGGGTAATTTCAGCTCTGCTTCGCTTCGGTTGTCAAACCAGCAGTATACTCGGCAACCGCGACAGTCATCCTTGATGACCGGGACTTGACCGGACATCCGAGAGGACGTCCGGGCGGACGACCACCAAGAACAAAACTTCATCTGGAACATCTGGGTGGACGACCACTCTGTATTGTAACGGCTCTTTTTCAAATGTTCTTGTCATTAATCAGGCCCATCTTTCAACATCTAATCATGAATGGGAAATGCAAGTTTGAGTAGAGTAGAGTAGATTTAACCATCTCACTCAATCTTCTCAACATAAGCAATAGACAATGGTCAATGAATTTCTCCTTAATAAATAGAAGTGCTCTTGCTGAAGAATGACAGCAACAACACAAGTTAGAAAATATTTCTGATCTTTCATCAATCTCATTCTCTCTGATCATTTGAGAAGTTCTTTATCTGGTTTTCATTTTTCTCTCAGAAATTATACATTGAGTCTTATAGCTTTGAGCTCATTTACTTGTAAGAGGTTTACTGATACACATACAGAGCTTCAACATTTTATATCTATCTTTAAGAAATTATCCTTGTAGCTTTCTTTGAAAACAAAAGCACCTTCATTAAATCTTGTAAGAGTGTGGTATATTCAGTGTTCTTGATTCCTTGAGAGTGATTGAGAATTACGTAAAAAGTGCAGGGTTTAGGACTTGGAAAGTCTATGTAAAATCTGTAGAGGTTTGCTCTATTTTGTAAAGAGGTTGCTAGTACTCTTGTAAAGCTAGAAGATAGTGAAAATCTCAAGTGAAACTTGAGGAGTGGATATAGGCTTGGTTGAAACTGAATCACTATAAATCTGTTTGTTTTTTCTTCCCTAATCTCTTTACTTAACTGATATAACTATTTACTGTTACTAGCTGCTTACATTGTTAAAGTTGTTCATTGTGATTAATCATTAATTGCTATTCATCAATTTATCCTCAGTTAATCATTTGTCGTACTAGTTATTTTTATTGGGGTATTATTAATTTTTATTTATAGAAATCCAATTCACCCTCTCTTGGATTGCCTTTTGGATAATATATTTATTATTTTTTTAAAATATTTGTTTACAAATATAATTAGTTTTTAAATATATCTAAGTAAGGTGCATTTAAAAAATAAAAAAAAATTACTTAAAATTTTAGAATATTCACTGAAAATAAAGAAACACAAAAAAATAAAAAATTTAAATTTTAAAAAATTAAATCTAAAAAAATTAAAATCAAACACACTAAATAATATTTTAAAATAATAATGATTTGTCTAAATTGTAGGACCTACTAATTTTATATTAAAATTTTAAAAGACAATTAATTAAATGTCAATGTTCAATAATTTACCTACTATGTTTTTGACAAACATAGAAATTAAATAATTTCTCGTCCATGTTGATAGTTCTACTTTGGCCCGGTTTGGTCGAGCTGTGGGAAAGTGATTATAGATTATACTTTAACAGATTATAACTTACAGCTGTAAACATAAGCTGGTAACCTGTTTGGTACAGCTGTGGAATTATGGATTTAAGCAGCAGAGTAGTGTTTCATAAGTAAGCTGTAAAATAGCTTTTGCTGTATAATTGTCATTTTTGCCCTTATGAAAATAAAAATTGTAATTTTGTCATTTTCTTCACTTTAAATTTTGAAAAAGTTATTTCATTAACGGAAGTTAATATAATTAGTACCTAATTTGATACATTTTTTCGTTACCTCGATTTTTTTTTTTTAAATTTTAATATTGAGTTCACAAGAGAAGCCTAGCCCTTACTCATAATTTCTTTTGTTATATCTCATATTGTATTTAATTATGATATATATATATATATATATATTTAATTATAAGACATATATGGTTCATACATAGCGTTTCCTTTTCTTATTTATACTTTAGAACCTGAATGCTATTTGATCAAATTGGATAAACTTGTGATGAGAGCAAAATTAGTAAATAAAATAAAATAGAGAAACAACTAGAGGACATTAAAATGGACAATTGCCAGAAAAATCATCAAAACTTTTTTCCTTTTTAAAGGTAACAATAAAAGAACAAAACTTTGAGGCACAGCCTCAACAATTCATATAGGAACACGAAAACAATACTTCTATCAAACAAGTTTTCATGATTTTTATTTTTTTTTTCTTTTCAAAAAACAAAAAACTATAACAAACATCCCCTAAATTTGGCAGTAGCTGAACAATACAATCAAATTTAAATTTCATCTCTGAGTAGTCTTGAGAAAACTGTTGATGCTATTTGCAAAGAAAACCAAACATATTATCTCCATTAGTTTCTCTTCACTCCCAACAAATATGGAAGGCAGAGAAGCTATGAGCTCTGTGTATATTGAAGTAGGCCTTGCTAACTCAAACTGAGACCTGAAATCCATGTCCACTATCAACCTCTCTGTTTCATCACCAACACCATTGTTGTCCTTCATCAAAACATCTATATATTCATAATCACCTGTAAATTCAAACACTTCATGAACACAACACCGCACACATATCAGAAATGGGTCCTTACCAAAATCCACAGTGTCACGACCCAAACCCGGCCCTATGGGTTTAGCACCATAACCGGCCAGTAATCCGAGATTACCGAAGGCCTGCAGAACAGTAGTACAGTAAAACAGAGTACAGGGCCTGGCGGAAGCCAATACAATAAATAAACAATGCCCAATGAGCTGTGACAGTCTGTATGTAAAAAGACTTTCATACATATGTACATAAACAGTACAGAACAGTATGCACAATATTTACATAATCATTCAGACTAGGGACTCAATCCCTGCATAACAGTACAGTAAACATTCAGTTTATACAGAACAGTAAGACGGTACAGAAGGGGGAATTGCAAAACGCCCCTAAGCCTTGACACAATAGGCTCGGAACCTCGCAGTGAGGCACAGTAGTTGGCTTGACAAAACTGGAGTAACCCTGACGCTCCTAGCCACGGTCTGGTGCTTGTACAGCTACATATATATATGAGCAGTGAGCTAAAGCCCAGTGAATAACATAATGCGTAAAGAGGTTAAGAATGAATGTCCTTATAGTATGAAAATAGTTCATTTAAGCAATATTTCAGTTGTTCAGTCAGTACAGTCGTATGTGGTACACCCATTAGCATAACAGTACAGTCAACAGTAGGTCTTAAAAGACCGAGCAATAATGATGGCCAAAGGTGTATAGGTAGTGGCCCACTCAAGGGCAAGGTTGTAAATAAGTCCAATTCATGTAATTTGGTACCATTCGATCTAATTTAATCATACCTAATCAGTTTTTAGATAATTATACCATAAATTCACATTAATTATGAGGATCATAAAACATTAATCAATTCCGAATTCGGCCGCCGATAAGGCCTTCAATTAGCAGTTTAAACACTAAAATACGCACAGATCAAATAAACAATCAACAGATAGAATGCAATTCAAACGTACATACTCAGTCAATTCAGTTCCAGTTTTCAGTCAGTCAGTTCAGTACTTTAATCAGTTCAATTATCAGTCATAATCAGTTCAATTTAACGGTAGTCAGTGTTTAACGGTAAGCAGTGGTGAGGGTTATTACACACAGAGAGAGAGATGAGAGAGAGAAAGAGACCTGAAGGGCGACCAATGGTAGCAGGCCAGGAAGTTCTACAGAGAGAGGCTTCAAAACCATCCCTAATAAGCCTCAGGACAATCTATGTTGATGCTAAGTCCAAAAACATGCAGCACCATTAATAGGTACCAAGGTATTATATCAATGAATGTTGTTATCCAGCAAGCTAGCAGATTGGGTTATGATAACAGCACAAGTCCAAAGTAGTGGTTGGATTTCAAATTTGATAACAACACAACTCCAAAAACACATTGACAACCCAGTTTTTTTATAAGTTTTTTTGGAGTTCTATAAGCAACTATTAAGTTTTTTATTATACGTTTTACCTAACCTCAATCAATGAATATCACAACCCAGTTTTTTGTTATACTTTTTACTTAACCTTAATGAATGAATATCACAACCCAAGTCAACTCACATAATTATAAACTCTTTACTAGCAAGATTCTTATATGAAAACATAGACAAAGTGAATAATATAAAAAAGAACTTGCAAATTGGCACTACAATCTAGATGCCATATATCCAAATTCCTCTCTATCAAGAGACCTAAATGCCTTACTGTAAGTAAGGGTGCACTACATCCTCTTAGGTTCTCTGTAAAACTCCACAGAAATAAATTACAAAGTTGTCTCCGAAAATCCTCAAACATGTCTTTAAACTTTTACTACTTGCCTAGCCAAGTGACATCACTTGAAGCAATTCTATTGCAAAAGAAATAGTATCGCTCATTTTTAGTTTCAATCTATCAAAGGTTCGCTCAGCCAATTTAATTGATATATAGGCAACAATCAAAAAACAAAACACAATAAACACAAATTAGAAAATATAGCCATCCACAATTGGCATTTGGCCTGCTTGAAAAAAATTATAATGCTTTCTCTGTGTGAGGAAGTGTCTCAAGCTTGAGTCTCATTCAGGAAGAATTTTTTTAACCAATGTAGAGGAATTTATTTATTTATTTATTTTAGAAAAAAAAATGGACAGATGATACTCTAAGTAAATTTCATAAGCAAGAAATAAGGTGAATCATCAAGTTAATTGCTGCTACTACTACTACTAGTACTTTAAAAGTAGAAATGATTGACAAAAGAAAAAGAAAAGAACATTTGAGGTATCTTTTAACATTGTAATGCATACTTACGAACTGGTTGAAAATGGAATTTGAACTCTACAAATAATCGATTAATTCAACTAATACAAAAATGTCACATTTGAACTCTTTTAAACCATTCCACATAGTTATGAGCGCAATCCACAACAATTTTTTAATTCAAACCCTTTACTTTAACAGAAAGGTATGGAGTTCTCAAAGACTGCATTTCCTTTGTTCCAAAAAGGCCAGTCAACCAAAAGTTGAGAAGATTTGTCATAGATATTCCCTACTGTATGTATCCACATGATCCTATCATGAGTAACAGAATAGAATGAAAATTCAATTTCCAAATCCCCAACCCCTAGTGAGCCCATGCCCCCCTTGTTAGGCATTAGTGAAGTCAACTCAAACCATAAAAATTATAGTTATGCAATATAAATGGTGAAAATGGGCAATAAAAAGCATCATGTGAATAATTAGAACTGGCTAATTAAATAGATTAATCCACTTGGTAAATTTTAATTGCTAATTTGTTTAAGAGTTTGGCCTATTCACCCCCCTTCTAGGCACAAACATAACTGTTTCCGCATTTTTAGAATGAGTTCAAATCTGACAAATCTTTTGGAAAATCGATTTGAATAAAAATGCCCAAAAATGGATTGCTTTGCTAGATTACAGAGTTGCCATCTAAATATTTTTAGGAAATTTAGGAAACCTGAGACTTGTGCCAAAGGTCACTTATCCATCATCACCAAAGTGTCTTGGCTCAGGAACTTAGGTACAAGGGGGGAAGGTCATGAATTGAGCACCCCCGCTCAACCAATCAAAGATCGGCGTCTACTAATCATGATGTGATACTTATTTACATTATATGCTCTTGTTCCGATTATTTAGGCTAACTTTACTAGGTGACGCACAAAAGTATAGACTAATTTGCAAAAGTTAGAACATTTGATTTCATGTTTGTTTTTGAAAATGGTTTTGAACATGTCACTTGAAAAAGCGAGCTCGTATGCGCATTTCGTCAAAACATTCCAACTTAAGCAAAAAGCTTCCATTAACAGGCATTCAAGCAAGTATATCACTTAAGCACTTAGCCTCATAGAAAACATGCTTGACATGACAACACTCACATGCATGC